CCACTAGATGGCAAATTTTTCCTTTGTTTATAACTAAGTGTAAACTGGATTCTAGTTATTTTAGTGTTATAGGAGCCGTATAGTATAAAGTATATCTAACTGTGACGGAAGGGCTGAACATTAAACATTAAAAGTGAAAAAGATCAGTATTTTTCAATTACAGTTTAAGTACATTTTGGTTGAGGTAGAATTATCAAGGAAAATCATGTTGTCTTAATTCAGCCATTAAGGATCACCCATCAATGAAAACTCTTTTGTCGGTGTTTACTGCTACTCAAACGACGCGTTCGCATGGGGCCCCCTGTTGGCCACAAACAGCCATTATACTAAATATTAAATAAGTGCGTTCCTCATTTCGGAGATGCCAAAGCAGCACGTTCTGTCAACCAGCTAGGTAGCTACAGTTTTCTGACTCAGTTTACTATTTGTTTAGTTTTCAAAACATCTGTGGAAGAATAAAAAAAAAAGCCGCCCCTAAGTGCATTCTGTGGATGTAGTGCTCACTCGTGCACTGTTCCAATTCATGGCAGAGCTTCATCCTTCACTCTTGTGGCAAGCAGTGCAGCAGCATGTAGATGACTGCAGTGGGGCTCGTGGGAGCACATCTGGCAGCTGGAAGCCCAGGGGATCCACTTCTTGCAACTGAGATCCCTGAATCCCCCTACACTCATGTCTGCTGGGTTTGTGTGACTCACAGTTTTAGCGGGATGACAACATGTTCCTGCCTAAACCATGCATCAATGGATGCAGCACTGTGACGGTCAGCACAGGTAGGGAATACAGTGCTTTGTTGTGGATTAAAATCCCATTTTAATCAGTCAAATTTTAGGCTTATACACAATAAAAGACTATTAACTTGACATGTATGCTGCTTCTCTGCACTAATGCATGTGACTTTCACGATTGGGCACAAAGCATAATCTGCGAAGGCCGGTATGTTATCTGATCCTTCGCTCTCTGCGTCCACACACACACACACACACGTAAACAAAGGAACCCGCATGACATTGAGGCTCTTTTTGTTTGATTTTTATTTATGTCCAAATGTCAAGTTCACAAAACGAGAGAGACAGGGCTCTTTAATAAGCCAACTGAGGGTTTAAAGGCTGTGTGTCAAGACAGAAGTCATTCCAGGTCTGATCCAACAGCAAGGACAGGAACTCCTGTACACAGGTCAACTCACGCCAGCTTTTAGGGAACCGGACCGAGCAGGTCCCAAACCCCACCAGGGGAACTCCTGTTGTACAGTCACACAGGGTGCATAAGCGGAAATACTCCGGTGAAACCAAGTGTATGATAAAGTATAAAGTCGCTTTGGATCGTTTGCTAAGCAACCAAACATTTATGTTTTGTATGATACCCTGCGGTGCAACAGTGTCATGCTAGATGTAGCGTTCAAGAGTGCCAAGAGTAGGAGATGTCATAAGACCCACACTCATGAGCCCTGGACCTACCTGTCATTTGGCTGTGATGACAGAATACTATATTAACAGGCAGAATGATTTATATAGAGTGACATTAGTATTATAGAGGACACTCGGCTTGGCATGAACTACTGCAAATTCAATCTGACTAAGCTGATCTCTCTGGGGCCGGCGGGGGTAGAACTAGGTCAAAAACGAACAGTTGACCCAAGAGTATATAATGAGAAAACAGGTTCATCATGTATACACAGGGCACATGCCACTCTCTCCATAAAACACTGACGTTGCTAAATTTAGCCATAGATGAAGAGAGAAGCTTGAATTAGGTCGCTGCCATTTCATTATTATCAAGTTATGCAATAAGTATTGCTCCTACCAATAGGCCAAACAATTCATTTTATTAGACTTCACATTGTCGTGGTTGGAGGTTGCTTTGTGTTTCACGGAAAGATCAGCTGCATAACATTTACGTTGAATTTTATTTATTAAAGGGGCGATTTCCTCCAAAGCGAGGTATAACGACATAGCTATCAGACAGCCCCCGAGGTATAAGTGCAGTTAGGCTGAGCTTCCAGCAAATGACCATTAACAAATGAGTCGGCATTGAGGCAAGAGCAGTAAAACACCTACAAAAGTAGGCAGATCCTAGTAAGAGAGCCATTCCAATCAAAGAAAAAGAGCAGAACTAAGGGCATACAAGAGACAAGCTGGGGTTCAGAGCAGGACAATGGTCACGGGGCTAGTTGAGGTATTCCTGGCACCGAGGCGTTTCTCGAAGATGTGGGGGGAATGTGATGACTGGATGTGGAGCTCATCCAAGGAAGGAGGAGGGTACACACCTTAGATGGGACAGGGAACACCTTAGATGGGATATTAGCCCATCCTAGGACACACATTCACATACTGTGGACAACGCAGCTGACCACTGTGGGAGAAAACAAATATCCAGGGACAATCTGGAGAATCCCTTCTCCTGACAAAGCAGGGTTTGGAAATTAAACCGATGACCGTGGTGGTGTGAGGCCACAGTGAGTCCCACTGAGCCAACATGCCACCCTACTGCCAAATATAAATGTTCTCAGACTTGTGATAATGAATTAAATTACATGGTGGTAGATTTCAATCTGCTTTTTTTCCCTCTCTCTCTCAGTAGGGATGAAATCATTCAAAATGTTTCAGTAGGTTGCATAATTTAACAGCTAGTTCATATTTAGTGTAACTTGCTTCAGTATCTGCTCTACGTGGATCCTTGCAGCCTACTGTTTACTGCCTTATGTACAGAGGGTCTGTCGCTCCTACAAAACATGCCCCCAGTAATAATCAATAATCCCTCCTTGCAGAATCCTGGAGTAATAAAAGACTGTTATTGTCACACAGAAAAATTAATTATATGGTGAGGTGAATTGTGTCATTCAGTTATTTGTTAATTTTAATTTGGATTAACAGCTGTGTTTGCTTCAAATACAGAAACATCCGATACAGGCTATGAAGGACAGTGAGATTGCAGAGAATGCTGAATTATCATATTATTGCACAACATCAGCATTCATTTCTCATGTATAGCTTGGTGCCTTGTTACCTTCGAAAGATCATAATATTCTCAAACCTAATCTAGAAATAACCATTTGAAATTCATACTGGTGGATTTTAAGGTTGCCTAGTTTTGAAGCCATTAATACAACCGACCTGAAACTCCAGTTCCACACCCCTCTGTTCAGCAAAAAGCCATGACAAGACAGCACGGGTTCCCCTGGCAGACTTTTGTCAGAAGTGTTAGGGAAGGCAATAGTTTTCAAAACCCCAAATCTTTTTGTTGGGAAAACATGACTGTGTTTTACACTCAAAACAGTCGGTTCAGTCTGTGACAGTGGAGGATCCTATACTCCCTCTATCTTCTCACTGCCTGGTCTGGGTTGCCGGGAAGACTTTAGTTATCCAACACAAACAGTTATACTACTGATTCTCAGCCCTGGTCCTAGAGACTCACAATAGGTTTTATCCCAGGAAATTTTACTCATCAAATAATGATCTACAGGCAAGTTGCAGTAGTGCTACTGAGGATCTTTTCTGCCTGCTGACATCAGGCAGTACAATCCCTCTCCCATCCCCCCCCCCCCCCCCC